GGAAGAAGATATGCAAATTCGCCCCGAATTTGCATATCTTTTGGAAGCCGAGGGTAGTCTAGAAGGTGTGTAAAGAATGTCTCTGGAACTGAGAACTACTTTAATCTGGTTGCATTAGATATTAGAAAAAAATCTTTCTAACTATAAGGTTAGTTAAGTACTAGAAGAGACATTCAAAGGCGGTTGTGGAATCCTTGTCTTTGGAGGTTTTTAAGAACAAACATCTGTCAAGGATGATCTAGCTACACTTAGTACTTAGTGAGTATGCAGGAAGAGAGGGCAAGGGTTAGGCTAGATGACCTCTTGAAGTCCTTTATATCTTTACTTTTGTATGACTTTATTAGTAGATTTACTACAGATTTTCTATATAACTTCAGGTAAGGCACTTAATCCGTCTTGGTGCCTCACTTCATCTCTGTAAAAAAGAGACCATAATACTTCTTTAATGTCTGGGAGGCACTCAGATGCTATAGTGACAAGTGCCATAAAAAACTATCCATCACAAATAAATTAAGAAAGGCAGCTAGTGCTGAAGACTGGTGCTTTGGTCTCATTTCTTCCATTTTATGGTATTTAAATAGCACCCTAGATATACATGGAGATTTATAATAAAAAAGTAACCTATTGACTGCCTAAGACAAGACCCCTGTCCTGAACAGCTAAACATTTGCAGCTTTTAAATCACCCACATCTCCAGGGTAGTGACCACTGATGTAATCTCATTATATCTAGAGAGCATCTGGCTTTTCTACTGTGAGTTGCATCATATTAAATTTGTTGTTTATATTGTTTAGGAAATTCTCCAGTCTTCTTTTAAGTTCAGCTAACTTTATAGCCGTTCGACAAGCTGGCTGACCACTGTGTGAAAAATATTTCCATATGCTTGTCTCAAATTAATCTGTTGTTAATTTCAAGTAACTCATTGTTGTAGAATTATGGAGATATGGTGTAAGCAGGAAAGGATTTTTCTGTTTTTTTGCAAAATGTTGTGTAAAACCTCCGCCCAACCCGGTATAATGTGAATGTAAGACATATAACTTTTAGTATTATAAATCATGTCATTATCAGCCATTGTGAGTGGGGTGGCTCTGTTGTAAGATATGTAACTCTCAGGCTATGTCTAGACTACAAGATTCTTTCGAAAGAGGCTTTTTCAAAAGAATCTTTCGAAAAAGCCTCTTTTGAAAGAAAGTGTCTAGACTGCAACGACTTCTTTCGAAAAAGCGAGCTGCTTTTCGAAAGAGAGCACCCAGGCGGTCTTGATACTCTCTTTCAAAAAAGCCCTGTTTGCAGTCAAGAACACCTTTTTTTGAAAGAGCACTTTCAAAAAAAATACAGGACTATGTAGCACTTTCAAGACTAACAAGATGGTTTATTAGATGATGAGCTTTCGTGGGCCAGACCCACTTCCTCAGATCAAATAGTGGAAGAAAATAGTCACAACCATATATACCAAAGGATACAGTTAAAAAAAATGAACAGTTAAAAAAAAGGCATTCTTCCTTTTTCTTCCTTGTAAAATGAGATTTACCACGGTCAAAAAAACTGCTACGTTCTTTCAATTTAATTTTGAAAGAACACAGGGGCAGTCTAGATGCAGGAGAAGGTTTTTTTGAAAAAAGGCCACTTTTTTGGAAAAAACCCTGTAGTCTACCCACACCCTCAGTTGTTCTAAGTTGTCAGTTTCAGACACGGTGGCTGTGTCTACACTGGGCCACTTATTCCAGAAAATCAACCGCTTTTCCGGAATAAGCTGCGAGCTGTCTACACTGGCCCTTGAATTTCCGGAAAAGCAACGACCCTCTACTGTACAAAACCAGCCACTATTCTGGAAAAACTATTCTGCTCCCGCTCAGGCATAAGTCCTTATTCCGGAACACTGTTCCGGAAAAGGGCCAGTGTAGATAGCCCAGTAGTCTTTTCCGGAAAAAAGCCCTGATCGCGAAAATGGCGATCGGGGCTCTTTTCTGGAAAAGCGCATCTACATTGGCCACAGACGCTTTTCCGGAAAAAGGGCTTTTCCAGAAAAGCAGCCTGCCAATGTAGACGCTCCTTTTCCGGAAAAACTGAAAACGGAATAGTATTCCGTTTTAAGCAGTTCCAGAAATTCATACCAGTGTAGACACAGCCAGAGAGTTGCAACTCTCTTATTGTAAGCCATGTAACTTTCATGTAATGTTTCAAGTTCTGCAACTTCTTGCAAGCTTTGTAACTTCACTTGTACAATCTTTAAGGTCTGTAACACTATCCTGTGACAAGGAAGTGTGTGGGTGTGTGTAAGTGGTGTGAATAGTGTAATGTTTGTGCCTTTGTGGAGAAGAGCCATGAGGCTACAGGGAGGAGCCAGAGGCTAGGTGGGTTTGAGGTAATCTTTGCTTGCACATGAGATAGGCAAAAAATGGAGGTGCAGCAAAGATGAGAAGAAGGAAGTAATATCCATGAGGAAAATGAGGTCTGGGCGGGCTTCTCGGTGATGGACACAGACTCTGATAACTCAGACTGTGTCTAGACTGGCCAGTTTTTCCGGAAAATCAGCCGCTTTTCCGGAAAAACTTGCCAGCTGTCTACACTGGCCGCTTGAATTTCCGCAAAAGCACTGACTTCCTACTGTAAGAAATCAGTGCCTTTTGCGGAAATACTATGCTGCTCCCATTTGGGCAAAAGTCCTTTTGCGCAAAAGTTTTGCGCAAAAGGGCCAGCGTAGATAGCTCAGATTTGTTTTGCGCAAAAAAGCCCCAATCACGAAAATGGCGATCGGGGCTTTTTTTGCGGAAAAGCTCGTCTAGGTTGGCACGGACGCTTTTCCGCAAAAAGTGCTTTTGCGGAAAAGTCTCTGTGCCAATCTAGACGCTCTGTTCGGAAAATGCTTTTAACTGAAAACTATTTCCGTATTTCTTACATGAGATCGTCAGTTTTGTTGCAGAAATTCAAGCGGCCAGTGTAGACAGCTGGCAAGTTTTTCTGGAAAAGCGGCTGATTTTCTGGAAAAACTGGCCAGTCTAGACACAGCCTATTAGTGTAACCCTGGGTTGTTCTCCAGTGAAATCAGGTAACACTACCCTTTCTCATCAATGAACACATCAGTCAAGTGACTCTTCTTCATATTTTAATTCTTTTCCTTCCTATACATAGCTTTTGGAATCTCACACAATGTGTAAGTACCTCCAGTCATCTTTGTTGTATATCTCTGAACATTTCATCTCAGTTTAAAGTGAGTTGACCACTGTACTCCAGAAGAAAGATCATTTATGTCAGGCCATTACATACAAACCCTTACCTACCTACTGTTGTCAACATGCTGCCAGCATGCCCACTTGGCGTCTGCTAGCAGGGCTAGAACTCAAATCTTTCAAAAGTCAGTGGGCTTTGAATGATGCCTTTTCTACTTGTGCTAAGCGTGAGTCACCTTCAGGTGCTTTTTGTATAGAACCTGTGACACACAGTTGGACAGTCCAGATTCCCTCCAGCAGAGGGTAGTGCTGAACTTATACATTAGTTAATTCCATAGTTAATTCCAAGCTCTGGGTGTATTTGTAGGGATAGTCCCGTTTTGAGAAATGCGCGCGTGACATTACGCTGTACAATCATTTTCCAACATGTGATGCAGTTTAACCCCATCTGGGATTTCTCACAGATTCCCTAACTTCTTCCTCCAAGGCACTGAATTTGCAGGTTAGTGTGTGAGTTAACCATTGTGTTACTAGCCTGATAACAGCTTACAGAAATGCTCCTTGAACTTGGGGGGGGGGAGGGAGCACCATAGGTAACACTTGGGATAAAAACTGAATGTTGGCAACAGCAAAACTAGCCTGTAGAAACTGGGCCTATCTTGCAGTTACACAAGGCCTCCTCACCTCAGCACCCTCCCCCCCCCCCCCCTTCCTCTTTCATCTTCTCTTCTCCCTTCCTTTCTGCTCCTGCCTTTTGCTCCCTTCTCACTCCTACTCCTTGTCCCTGCCCCCTCTCCCTTTTATTCTTCTTCCCCCTTGCCCCTCCCCCTCTTACTCTCCT